CGACTCCATCGCTCTTATGACTCTACTTACGACTCTGATGTTTGATTTTCATCGCATAAGTACTCTTACGACTCCGCTTACCATTCCGACTCCGTCACTGGTAAAAACCAACCTTTTTACTGTCAAACTCAGAAAACTGTGTTCCAGGAATGTTGATTGCGTACTGGCCAATCACAGTATATATATATACACCTGTTTTCAAAAAGGTTTTCATACAGAGAGATATATAGATAGATATATACTTTTGTTCTCTTGCACGTGCGCCCGAGTGTATTTTTCACTTGTTATTGTCCAACTTGTGAAAAACTCGGTTCAACGATAAATTTTTTCGTCGTCAGGTTTTTTGTTCTAATTTGACATGGCCTTTTGAGTTTTTTTTTTTTTTAGAAAAATACATGCGCCCTGCGATACAAATTTGCAATGGGGAATTATATAGCTGATTTTGGGAATGAGGAAAACATCCCGCGAAGCAGCTGATCCGCGAGTTATACGGCGTCACCGAATTGGTAGGCCAAATGCCATGGCATCTGTAGCAAGTGACGAAGCATTTTTATTGATGGAGTGTATTAAAAAATGCGCTGTCCAGGGGCGTGCCTAAGAGAAACTGTAAACTAACTTGAAAGCATTTGTGGCCGAGAGTTTATTCTGTCTTCAAGAGACGTTGCCATACAGGCCGTGATTTTACACGAAAAAAGGTGAGACATTAAGATATATGACCAGCTCATCATGGTTATGGAAAAGTCTGCTTCCATGAACCTCGTCAACGTCTTAGTCCGTTTTAATCAACTGCTATAATATTGTTGCTCCTTCCCACATATCCATTATGTACATCCACCGTCACCTCTTCCTCATTCTTTATATTAATTTTCAAGAGAGTGCAAATCAAGAGAATTGCAGACAATATTCGTGTATTATTTTTTTAATTGACAAATTGGAACAAAGAACCTGACGAAAAGAAAATTTATCGTTGAACCAAGTTTTTCACAAGTTGGACAATAACAAGTGTAAATGCACACGGGCGCACGTGCAAGAAAACAAAAGTATATATCTATCTATATATCCCTCTATATGAAAACCTTTTTGAAAACGGGTGTATATATATATAATTTTTTTTTCTACATATATATATGTTAATGGCGGGGCGAGGGCGGGACGGTTTTATCTTCTGCCTAAATTACATAAGAGATGTTGTCCAGGTAGACCAGTTATCTCTGGATGTAATACGCCAACGGAGAAGATCTCGGCATTTATTGATCACCACCTGAAACCGCTCGTCGCAGCAGTACCATCTTATGTGAAGGATACGAATGATTTTCTGAAGAAGCTCCGTGACATCAGCACGCTCCCTAGCTGTGCAATAATGGTGACCAATGATGTAGTGGGATTATATCCCCATATACCTCATGATGAGGGACTACAATATATCAGGGAGGCTCTCAACAATCGAGAGAATCCGGAGATACCGACGGAGACAATTGTAGACCTGGCAGAGCTAGTGCTTAGGATTAACAACTTTGAATTTAATGAAAACCATTATCTCCAGACTTCGCGAACGGCTATTGGTACGAAAATGGCACTGTCGTATGCGAATTTGTTTATGGATAGACCGGAGAGAAGGTTGTTATCCCAGGCGCAGGTAAAACCTTACATCTCGTTACGATACATCGATGACGTTTTCATGGTGTGGACGGGGACCGAGCTTGAGCTGGTGGAGTTTTTGAATTATATCAATGAAGCCCATGACACGATTAAGTTCACTTGGGACTGGTCTAGAGAGAGGATTAATTACCTGGATGTTCAGGTAATAAATAACAATGGAAGAATAGATACTGATTTGTAGGTAAAGCCGACGGATAAACACCAGTATCTGTACCACACTTCATGTCATCCCCGGATGTGTAAGAAAAGCATGCCATATAATATGCCCAGGCTTTGAGACTTCGAAGAATATGTTCCAGGCTGGATTGGTTTAATCACAGGGCTGCTGATCTATGCAGGTTTCTTGTAGCCAGGGGATATAAAAAAGCATTTGTTTTGAAGCAAATTAGGAGAGCGAGATTGAAAACCAGAGAGGAAACATTGGCACCACGCCCTAGGAATGCTACTAACAGAGTGCCAATGGTAGTGACATACCATCCAAGTATTCCTAACATTGGTAGTATCCTACGAGAACTTCAGCCGCTCTTGCATTGCTCAGAAAAATGCAGGAAAGCCATCAAAGACGTACCCTTCATGGCATTTCGAAGACCCAAGAGCCTGGGGGACTAATTAGTACACGCTAAACTTAGGCCGTCAACGCGTCTGGAGCGGAGCTCGAAGGGGACAGTGGTGTGTGGTAACAGACGATGCCAGGTCTGTAAGTACCTGGAACCGGGAGAAAGGTTTACCTCTTACAGAACTGGAAAGAGCTGTACAATTAACTACGAACTGGACTGTAATAGAAGTAATGTTGTCTACTTGCTGTCCTGTAAGGTTTGTCATGCGCAGTGCGTTGGGTCAACAGCAACAAAATTTAGGCTTAGGTTTAACAATCATAAGGCCAGTTTTAGAGCGCATTCAAGGCTTTCTTTTGAGAGTAAAAACGAGGATGATCTTTTGTATAGACATTTTTTTGGCCCGGGACACCATGGTCTTGAGGATATCAATATACAGTTAATTGACAGAGTGTCCGGGGAAGAATCAGCTCTCCGGAATAAAGAAGGCCAGTGGGCCTATAGGTTGAACTGTATTCAGCCTCAGGGCTTGAATATAAGTGATTTTTTTTTTACAGCCAGAATAGGGCGACTAGGTCTCCCGTCTGGTAAGAGCACGCGCGTGTTTATCTTCCTTTGTAGCGCGTGCAAGTTTTCAAATTTGTTCGTTTTCATGTAATAATGGTGTGTGATGCTTGTAACGGCCATTCACCCTGATGAAGGCCGTTTAACACGGCCGAAATATAGGTGAGAGACGAAAAACATTTTGTTTTACTCTTCACTTGTGGTACTGCATAGATATATTTAGTATATACTAAAACAGTGGATAGTGTTTTTCGCGCGCTCTGATTGGCTACTCAATCAGTGAATATCCTGCACTATTCACTGATTCACCTCCAGTTCCTCCGAGCGAGCGACGCTAAACTCGCGTAAGTTGCGAGCAAAATGCCTTCCCGGTTTGCTGCTGTAAACAAACAAAGAAATTTCACAACTAATCAAGCAAGCTGTTTCCGAAATACACGAAGAAGGTGACGAACTTCGGATTGGAAGTTTTAACAGGTAAAGCTTTGTCTTTTTGACACGAATTTATCGATAAAACCGGTGAAAAAGTTTTTTGTTTACAAATGCAAATTAAGTTTAAGTCTTGCTTACTTTATTTAGTTGAGTTGTTCATAAATAAGCTTAAAACTAAATTTCATAATCTTTTTTTTATAGAATGATTTTAAATACAGAAAGAATTCACAACTCCTTTGAAGAAATTTCCCCGCAAGAGCTAAACAATGCCTTCAAAAGTTTTAATTCTCAACAAGAAAAAGCAACAGCCGCGGCCGCCCGGTCATTACGCGCCAAAATTGTAATCGTTGGCAACAGTATTTGAGTTAAAAATCGTCATTTTTGTGCTCAATTAGCTGACTGTTTTAGTATATACTAAAACAATTATTCACCTCAGTGTCGGTGGCTAGTCGTGGATATTTACCTCACTGCTTCGCAGTTCGGTAAATTTACCAGGACTAGCCACCTCTACTTCGGTGAATAATTGTTATATATACATATTTAGTATATACACACTCAGTGATCTTGGTAATTCAAGCAATCTGATTGGTTAGCTATCTCGGACTATGACGTTATATTCACCGCGCTAGGCGGTGAATATAAAGCCGAACAAAATTGCTGTCGTGAACTGGGTGTTTTGCCAAAGTTTCAAAGTAAAACCTTTTTGAAAATACACGAATGTCCAAGTGCTGATGACTTTGAAGGCAAGAAAAGACTTTATGGTGTTTAAGCAGCGTGATTTATTGTGAAGTGGT